GTGAAGTTGATGAGAAGAATTCACTCGATCGAAGACCAGGCAGAACTACAAAGGGATCTGGACAGGCTGCAGACCTGGTCCAGCAATTGGCTCCTTGAGTTCAATCCCACCAAGTACAAAGTCAGGAAGATTGGGGAAGGGCAAAGAAGACCGCAGATGGAGTACAGTCTAGGGGGCCAGAGACTACAAACCTCACTCAAGGAAAAAGATCTTGGGGTGAGTATAACACCAGGCACATCTCCTGAAGCGCACATCAATCAAATAACTGCTGCAGCATATGGGCGCCTAGCAAACCTCAGAACAGCATTCCGACATCTTAATAAGGAATCGTTCAGGACCCTGTACACCGTGTACGTTAGGCCCATATTGGAGTATGCGGCACCAGTTTGGAACCCACACCTAGCCAAGCATGTAAAGAAACTAGAGAAAGTGCAAAGGTTTGCAACAAGACTAGTCCCAGAGCTAAGAGGTATGTCCTACGAGGAGAGGTTAAGGGAAATCAACCTGACAACACTGGAGGACAGGAGAGATAGGGGGGACATGATAACGACATACAAAATACTGAGAGGAATTGACAAGGTGGACAAAGACAGGATGTTCCAGAGATTGGACACAGTAACAAGGGGACACAGTTGGAAGTTGAAGACACAGATGAATCACAGGGATGTTAGGAAGTATTTCTTCAGCCACAGAATAGTCAGTAAGTGGAATAGTTTGGGAAGCGATGTAGTGGAGGCAGGATCCATACATAGCTTTAAGCAGAGGTATGATAAAGCTCACGGTTCAGAGAGAGTGACCTAGTAGCGATCAGTGAAGAGGCGGGGCCAGGAGCTCGGACTCGACCCCCGAAACCTCAACTAGGTGAGTACAACTAGGTGAGTACACACACACACACACTCAACTAATACTAAACATTTTAAATAAAAGCATAACACACATGGCTAATATGACATATTCTAAATATTACAGATGTTTAATCTAAGAAAAACACTAATGGTACAGTACAGTGGACCCTCGGTTATCGGCCGTTCCATTTATCGGCCAACTCGGTTATCGGCCGGGTTTTCAGCTCCTGGTTAGCGGCCGTTATTTCGCCTATCAGCCATATGGTACCCATCAGCCCACTGCTTGCATGTCAGTCTGGCTTTGTCTCTGGGTGAGTGAGGAAGCTTCTGCTCATTCATCCAAACATTTCGCTATAACTCATTGATTTTCATGCTTATCGATTAAGTGCAACTGGGAAATAAGTAACCATGGCCCCAAAGAAAGTTCCTAGTAAAGTTCCTTTGGTAAAGAAAGTGAGAAACACGATGGAATTTAAGAAAGAAGTTGTTGAAAGTATGAGAGTGGTGTACGGGTCCTAGAACTTGTCAGGATGTATGGGAAAAGCAAATCAACAATCACTTCTATCATGGCAAAGAAAGAACAAATCAAGGAAGCTGATGTGGCGAAAGAATAAATGTGCTAACCAAACAAATGTCACCGATAATGGAAGATATGGAGAAGTTGTTGGTTTTGTGAATTACCGAAAAGCAATTAGCGGGAGATAGTGTTGCGGAGTCGATGATTTGTGAGAAGGCAAGGCAGTTGCATGCTGATCTTGTAAAGAAAATGCCTGGAACAAGTGCTGCTGTTAGTGAATTTAGGGCCAGCAAAGGCAGGTTTGAGAGATTTAAGCGTAGTGGCATACACAGTGTGGTAAGGCATGGGGAGGCTTCAAGTTCTGACAAATGTGTGGCTGAAAAATTTGTGCAGGAATTCAAGGGGTATGTAGAAGATGAAGGATTCCTCCCCCCAACAAGTGTTCAATTGTGACAAAACAGGCCTCTTTTGGAAGAAAATGCCAAAGAAGACCTACATTATGCAGGAGGAAAAAGCACTGCCAGGACACAAGCCTATGAAAGACAGGCTTATTCTTTTGTTCTGTGCTAACATTAGTGGGGATTTCAGAGTGAAGCCTTTACTGGTGTATCACTCTGAAAATCCCAGTGTTCAAGAAAAACAATGTCGTCAAGAATAGTTGTGTGTGATGTGGAACGCTAATAATAAGGCATGGGTCACAAGGCACATTTTCAAAGAATGGGTCAATGATGTGCTTGGCCCCAGTGTGAAAAAATACCTCCTGGAAAAGAAATTGCCACTTAAGTGCCTCCTGGTACTGAAAAATGTTCCTGCTCATCCTCCAGACTTGGAAGCCCAATTGTTTAGGGACTTCTGTTTTATAACAGTGAAGTTCTTGCCTCCTAACATCACTCCTCTCATCCAGCCCATGGACCAGCAGGTTATTTCTAACTTCAAAACACTCTACACAAAAGCAGTGTTTCAAAGGTGATTTGAAATGACCTCGGACACTCGTTTGACCCTAAGAGATTTCTGGAGAAATCACTTCAGTATCCTCCATTGCATAAGCCTTACAGGTAAGGCTTGGCAGGGAGTGACTTCCAGGACTCTGAACTCTGCTTGGAGAAAACTGTGGTAAGCTTGTGTCCAAGAGAGGGATTTTGAAGGGTTTGGGGCTGACCCTAAGGACCCTACGCCTGTTGTGCAATCTATTGTGGCACTGGGGAAGTCCATGGGGTTGGATGTGAGTGGCAAGGATGTGGAAGAGTTGGTGGAGGACTACAGGGAAAAGCTAACCCCTGAAGAGCTGCAAGACCTTCAAAAATGGGAAAACAACAGCCTGCACTGAGGAAATTGCTTTTAGAGGAGGAGGAAGAAGAGGGGGAAAGGTGCCGGCTTCGTGTTAAGAATGGTTTTGGGAAAATTGATGATTGCAAAGGTTTTTTGAAAAGTACACCCTGACCAAGCCCGAAAAAAAGCCATATCTGAACATGTTCAGTGACAAAACTTGTCCCACTTCGGGAAAAATTTAAAATGCCGAAACAGAGCACTCTGGACAGTTTTGCGTGTCAGGGGTCCAGTGACTCTCAAGCTGGTCCTAGTGGCATTAAAAGACAAAGAAGGGAAGCCCTTATGGAGGGGGATTCTCCTTCCAAACAACCCCAACTTCCTCTCTTCTCTGCCCTATCATCCATAAGCCAAAGAGTCTTCAATAAAGGTATGTAATAGTGATTTAATTGTTCATGTATTTATTTTATGTAGTTCTCATTGTTTTGTGTATGTAAAACTATAATTAATCTTTAAAAAATTTTATTTTTTTTGTGAATATTTTTCGGTGTCTGGAACGGATTAATTGTATTTACATTAATTCTTATGGGAAATATTATTTCGGTTTTCGGCCATTTCGGTTTTAGGCCGACCTTCTGGAACGGATTACGGCCGATAACTGAGGGTCCACTGTATTCAAAAGATGGAAGAATATATAAAGAACGGACAATTTAAGTTAGTGAAGTCTGTTTTAAGAATATCATATGTCTAGGTTGTTTTGAGATATGTTGAAACCATTATGTCAGGAGACCTTTATTTCTGGTCTCTCCAGCACAATGCAAGACAAAGAAATCATGTGATTGTCATATCCAGATGATAGGGTTAATTTTATAAATACATTCACATATTCAGTTACACTGATAAAGTCCCACAGTAGGACTCCAAATACCTGACACTTGATATTTGAGTAGCTTCATAAATTTGGGTTTTTCCTACAAGTGAGGTCAGACCCAGGAATATTGTTTAATACTGTATATTAACGAGCATACGTTCGTTTTTCTTATTATGTCACCCTGCCTTGATGGGAGATGACTGGTGCGTTAAAAAAAAAATTCATGCAAGGTAGTGCAGTAAGATTAAATTTAGTACTTGACAAAAAATCATTGATTACCTGCCTACAGCACCTGTTTGTTTTGACTGATACTGTATTGCTTTAATCATCAAAATAATCCTGGTTTCTGTAAGCCAAATCTGCATCAGTTGACTATTTTTTACCACTAATTTATCTAATTCCACACTTAAACACGCGTAGCCATCCCGTGAGAAGGTGCATAACTACTGATTATTGCTGTATTACATTCATGGGGTTAGTTCTAGACCCACAGGGATTGTACAGAGCCTTGGCAACAAGGGGGCAATCAGGTTCAATCCAAGGAAAAGGAGGATAAGTCCAAATGCTTGGATTAAAAGCCCCTCATTGGCAGCAAGGCTCACAGAGGGAGTACCTGATTATTGTATGCCATTTTATTGTGGAATTTTATTTATTTTTTTCACATATTACATCACTACTTAACAGACATTTGTAGCCTCTCCCTAAACAATGCAAATAAAACCATGTCTAACTCTAAATTTAGGCTTGTGGATATATTTCCTTTGCTGCAGAGCCTTCTCTGAACAAAATTCTGGATAGAACTTGTACAATTAATATTCCTAAGTAACTGTATGAAGCATGGTTAATCCAACATTATATTATATTCATTCATAAAATTCTTAAGATTCTCGTCTCTATACACACATTAATAGTGTGTATCTACTTACTGTTTAACATTAGTGGAAACTCACTTTCTCAGTAAATGCTACACTATCCTGTTCAAAAGCAATTTTGAGGATAGTAAAAATTGGTTTAAAAGGCACACCAACATAAAAAATGCCAAAACAAGTTCAGCATAAGCAACTTTAGCCCAGCAGAACAAAGCAAAGCGGCAATGTCCACCAAGCCAATATTTGTCTGGAGTAAGAAGCTTTATGAAAATTTTTCAGGGCAGTTTGGCATTTCAGTTACTTGGATATATCTTCAGAGGAGAATTTTGGAACAATTTTGCAAACTTGGAATTTGTGTAAATATGGATTTTCGATATTTGGAGTCTTATTGTGCCTAGTTCACATACACAACAGCATAATTATGAGTTAAGCACCCTACCTTGACTTAAATGCATAAGTATCAGGACAATCTAGCCTTGTAAAAATAATCTAGAGCCATATTTCAAGCTTAAAATTATCACTGAATATGACGAAGTACCTACCAGAAAAAAAATGAAGGCTGCCAAAGAAGAGGGAAGCTACAACATAATAAGGCAACTAGAGACGCAACATAAATCGATGCCTCTACAAACCCTTCTCCCCAAGATTGAGGGAAACTGAGTGACCCCTGTGGCCATAGCCATAGTCGAATGCAGACTGGTACTGACTGGAAGGTTTGCTGTAGTCAAATGCTGATTTGTAGCTGAATGCTGAATTGTAATCAAAGGCTCCTGTGACCCTTGACTGAGTAATATCTTCGGTCTCTTTTGGCTCATCCATGGGAACCAAGCTGTATTTTGCGAAAGACACCATATCTGGAAACAGAATCCAGCGAGATTTGATGTTAAAAAATATGTTGTAGAACATTTTCTTGCATGAAGGAATAAAAGAAAGGCATTGTCTGTCAAGGATACATTTTCTGTAATAATCATTGAAGGTATGTCTGAGAAATTAAAAAAAAAAACATTAACATAGGCACATTATATAAAAAAGAATGATCCGCTAAACATTATTCTAGAGTTTTCTACAAGTTTGGTGTTGTGGCATGTTTACATAATGCACATCACTTAATAGCACTTTCATATATAACCTAAGTTAAAACAAACCCAATCTAGACTTGTATATATCTATGAAGTCTTGCTGTGTCTTGAGGTTAAAAGATAAATCACTTTAGGTGTAACTGAAAGATCAGGTTTGTACCAGCCTAAGTAAAATTCTATATCTTAACAGAATTAATTTGCCAGATGCAATTTCACATGGGTAATATTGCCCTGCATAACCTTTTTGACCTTTACCAAATCTATCTTAAAAACTTTTTAAAGCTTTTATACTATTTACATGACAGTATTTTGGCCTTGAAAGCTTGCAGAGAAAATTTATCTTGTCTACATTTATATTAATTTGCTCTTCACTTACAAATGGGCATTACAGCTACTCCAAAAGATTCTTAAGTGTATGTCTGATCAAATGGTCTTTGCATAAAATAATTTTTTTTTCAGCACAACCCAGACATTCATGTTTACTAAAGAAGCTTTTGCCTCTTTAGGAAGATGGTGGCATTTACAATTGTACGCTTCATCAAATGTTCTTTGATAAAATCATCTAAATCAGCATAACCCAAGTATTATATATTTACCCTACCAGTAACAATGCCTTCACTTCCTACACCTCATATAACTCCAGTATATAAGCACCCTTCCTGTGCTTTAGATTCAAGACTACAGTGCTCAACACCTGCTCCTAGGCTGAGGGACTGATTAACCCGTCTAATAGATTATTATTATTATTGTAATCAAGGGGGAAGCGCTAAACCCATAGGATTATACAGCGCCCAGGGGGGGGATGTGGAAGGCATTCAGGCTTAATTCGGGGAACTGGAGCACAGATCCAATTCCCTAAATCAAGAGCCCCTCACCAACATCAAGGAACCTTCCATGAGGGGCCCGTCTAATAGTCTTCTGTGAATAGCTAATTCTGCGAGGTTAGGGGACTGATTTCCTCCTATTCTGCAGTCTTCCGTTTATGTCTTGTGTTGTACTGATAGTCACGATACCCAAATGGAATTAAGTACCTTTGACGTTTTTGAGTTATCCTAGGTAATTGACACATTTCTTAAACTATGTATGATAATTGTACTTATGTGTACCTGTCAGTATTGCACACCACTGATATATTAAGAGATAAATTTATATTTTATTAACTTTATTCAGAAAATTACAGACAATATAATAAAAATTAAATACAATGGTTCTGAAAGTATTAATATATTAATATTAACCAGAGATAACGCACGAGTCAGATTATATAATAAAAAGTTAGTATTGCCATTAATAATTGACCAGCGAAGCATTAATCATAAGATATTTTCTTTAGTGAAGCTCTGGGGGCAATATAATTAAAATTAACCTAATAAATATAAGTTAAACTATAAATTACAATGGAGTCTTTATTAGACGTCCAGCATCTCAAGATGTGGGAAAAAAAAAAAAATCCTGTAAACTCGTTTTGAGGCGAAATTGTCGGTTTACAAACCAAACAAGCAAACGTGCCTTCATCTGTTTGTGCTGTTATATCCCCTAAATATCTCTGTAAATAAAAGGGCACTTGTAACGGTGGGAAATAACGGAGACACTGTTGAAAAACGTCCCCAGACGTCCCACTCTCTGCTCTTCGATCCCGTCGTCTGCTGCGCGTCGTCTGCTCCAAAACATTTATCCGAATCACAAGACGTACTCTGTGTATTTATTTATTTGTGTGTTTTAAATAATGCTTATAAATTTTTAGTTTAAATAATTATCTCTAGTAACTTTATATCTATTGTTTATTTTAAGTTTTGTTATATATAGTGGTGTTATTTATCGAGGAGAGGTAAAGGAAGAGTTCTGGTAAATGAAGCCTCTATAGGAATCGGATACATTGCAGGTGGAGGTGCCCAAATATGTTATTTAACACTGGAGATGCAAGTTATTATTACATAATTTGCATGTGGGTCATTGTTTAGAGTATATTACGAACACTGGACATCACATGTTGAGAAAATATTGTGAAACAATAATCTAAGATGTATTAAAGCCGTGGCCTGCTAGTCAAGGAAGGTTCCTTGATGTTGGTGAGGGGCTCTTGATTTAGGGAATTGGATCTGTGCTCCAGTTCCCCGAATTAAGCCTGAATGCCTTCCACATATCCCCCCCCAGGCGCTGTATAATCCTCCGGGTTTAGCGCTTCCCCCTTGATTATAATAATAATAATTACTTATGCTAGGTGAATTGTTTAAAGTAATTCAGTGTCTGTATTTCATATTTAGTTGTGTAGCAGGTAACTTTGTGAGAGAATCTAGCAATGGAAATAAGTCACATTGTTTGACTTTATTGGGTTAGCCAAGGATAATATTTTATAATGTATTGTTAATGTGCGTCTATAACGTGTTATCTAGACCACTGTAAAACTTTTAATGTCAAATAAAAATTAACTACTATAAATGACACGTCTTCTAATAATAACACACGTGTTTATGGAGCATTGTAGTTTACCTGGAGGTAAACTACAGACCAGAAACAAAAACTGAGGCACCATTTCTCTTTTTGGCCACTTGTACATGACATTAAACTGACCCTTATTAAAGGGCTTTCTCTTTCTGGTTTTCAGTAAGATAATTGATTCGTACACTTAAACTGCAGTTATTTCCATGGAGAAGTGATAATTCCATAGAGGCCGTAAAGACCCTGGGGAACAGGGGAAGTAATTAGACTTGATGCAAGGAGGGTCAGCTGTAGTTCTTTTGATCAAGAGCTTTTCACGGGTATCAAGGCACCTCCTATTAAAAGTGGTACACGTGTAAAAGACGTCTTTATTTGGGTCAGTGACCCTGGAAAAATTCAGATTCAGGGAAGATATAGGAAAGCACTGGTTTGGTAATAGAGTTGTGGATGAGTGAAACAAATTCCCCGAGTATAGTTATAGAGACTGAAACGTTGTGTGGTTTTAAAAATAGGACTTGGACCTGCCTCTCATGGGCCAGTAGGCCTGCTACAGTGCTCCTTCTTATGTTTTATAAGCCAAGCATTGCGTCTTCCTCTAACTTTTTTTTTTTTTTTGTTAGGTCCTAACCCAGGATGCAACCCCCCAACGGAGAAGATAAAGATATAGTCCGGGTTATTAACTCGGAGGATTAGTAACCTAGGGTTACCCCCTTAAAGTTAGTTCATCATCGAGGTCTGTGTCTTCAGTCGAAGTCCTCGAACCTTCTTCCTCTTCTGTTGTCCTTGCCTCGTGCAGGAAGCAGGGGCTCTCTCCACTACCAGTCTCCCTGCGATCCCCGTCGGAGAGTAGAATTTAAACCACCATGATCCGCAAGAGAGATGATGTTACCCTCCAGCCAGAGGGCCCAAGAAAGAAGACAGAAGAAAGATGATGAACGACACCCCCAACCCGGGGGCCACCACCGGTGTGGAAAATACTGTATATATTTTCCAGAAATTCAGTATTTATATGTAAATAGATGGCCATACTGTATTTAATAATATTTATGTCATAGAAAACGGAAAGCCTGCGTCTGCGCAGACGGGACTCGTCATCTTGGTTTTGAATTGGATACAACGTTAATATAATGGGAAGAATTTTTCGTGTTCTAGAGGTTAAAATTGGATTGACACCTCTCAAATAGGAGGCGAAATTGTTGGATGTGAATTCCTGCATAACTTGAGATATCAGACGACTGGACAAGACAGCTCCATGAACCTCAGATAAGCTCTCTAGATTTGTGTATAATTCTGGCCAGTGTTTTCATAAATTTAGTTAGTGAGGTTTTTCTGAGTATGATACAACTTAATATCCAGTCAAATTGGTGAGTGATATTAAGATATATTTTCCTTCTGTTATGTAATTGTGTATATATATAACCATTTATTATTTTTAATATACAGTCCACGAATTTATATATTTACCAGCATTCCTGGTGATACAAATCAATTATGATTAATAGGTCCAGAGCAACTTGTGGATATGACAGTGGTAGGTATCGAAGGGGGACATTTTTTGCGACCTTTATTACACAGCATCACAAGCCAGCACTATCCTAAACAATGCTAAAAGTCTATCAGTACTTAACTACAACATCAGGTCCTTAAGCAAACACTATGATGACCTCCTGGCACTCCTTGAATCACTAAAGACACCTTTCTCCTGCATTATTCTTACCGAGACCTGGCTTAAGCAGGACACAATAGATATCTACCCTCTACCAGGATACACAGCAATTCACAACTGCAGACCAAACCAAGTTGGGGGTGGTATTGCAATCTATTACTCTAACCAATTATCTTGTATTAGCACCACTTGCTTTAGTGATGAATATGGAGAATACATTTTTGCTAATTTTACTGTAAAAAACCTTAAGACACCTATAACAATCGGTGCCATTTACCGGATACCTCACACAAACATCCCAAATTTCAGTGAGAAATTAGTCACTAATAACAAACAGACAAATGAATAAGCACCACCTTCTCTTAGCTGGAGACTTCAACATCAACCTTGGCTTACTAGATGATCAGCCTGTAACTGATTTCATCAACAATATGAACAACACACTTCTCATACCAACAATAACTAAACCAACCAGGCTCACTGAGACAAGTGCAACCATAATAGACCACATATGGACCAATATACTAGCCCCCCTTAAATCAGGGATAATCACAGATAGCACAACAGACCACTACCCTACCTTCCTCCTGACTAACATTAGTAAACCACCACTTGAATACAACAAAGTCTCATTTAGACTCCATGACGAGGCCTCAATAAGGAAGTTCACAGCTGACCTAGAGATTGTTGACTGGCCTACAGAATTCTCCAAGGCCAATGGTATTGATGACTGGACAGACATTTTTCTTAACAAATTACTTAGACTATACAACAAACATTGTCCTATAAAAACGAAACAGATCACAAACAAACGGCTTGGTTGCCCATGGCTAACCAGCACCATTCTGAAATCCATTGACAAGAAACACCAATATGAAAAGCAATATAGACAGGGCTTAATACACAAAGATATTCTTAAACACTATTCATCAGTTCTCACCAAAGTAATAAAGAAAGCCAAACAACTATACTACTCCAGTAGATTCACAGACACTACAGGAGATATAAAAAAGACCTGGAAAACACTCTCTTAGATTCTAGGGACCCACAAACTGAAAAAAAAAACAAGAATATTGTCCTAACTAAACCTAATGAAACACCACTATATCCCACTGACACAGCTAACAAGATAAACGACTTCTTCTCAACCATAGGATCTAATCTCGCCAATAAAATCCCACATACCAATGCCCATGCCGGGGACTACCTAGATGGGAATTTCCCAAATTCCTAATATCTTGCACCAACTGAGCCCTCGGAAGTCACCGAGATTATAAAGTCACTTAAAAACAACTCAGGGAATCTGTCTAATGTCCCACCATTACTGTACAAGCAAGCGGCCCATATCCTTTCGCATGCTATTTCATTACTTTTTAACAAGTCACTAGAAACTAGCACCTTCCCGAAACTACTCAAGATGGCAAGGGTTACACCAATACATAAAGGTGGTGACCCTACAGACTTAAACAACTATAGGCCAGTATCAAACTTACCATTGCTATCCAAAATTTTTGAGAAACTCGTGCACAGGAGACTATATTCATTTATAACAACACAAAACATACTCAACCCCTGCCAATTTGGATTCAGGAAAAATAAAAGCACTAATGATGCAATCATAAAAATGCTAGATCTGCTTTACACAGCATTGGAAAATAAGGAATATCCACTAGGAATTTTTATTGACCTAAGAAAAGCTTTTGACACAGTAGACCACGACATTCTACTCCACAAACTTGACCATTACGGTATAAGAGGCCATGCGCTTGCTTATTTCAAATCTTACCTTACTAATAGGTATCAGTATGTCACCATTAAAGACACAGCATCAACAACACGGCCACTTGATACTGGAGTTCCGCAGGGAAGTGTCCTTGGTCCCCTGCTCTTCCTCATATACATCAATGATCTTCCAAACGTATATCAACACCTGAACCCCATTCTCTTTGCTGACGACACGACTTATGTCATCTCTCACCCTAATCTTGCCACCCTCAACACCATTGTTAACGAGGAGCTGATCAAAATATCGACTTGGATGACAGCCAATAAACTTACGTTTAACACTGACAAAACCTACTATATTATGTTTGGTAGCAGAGCAGGAGATGCACAAATTAACATTAAGATAGACAACACTCTAATTACCAGGCATAATGAGGGCAAATTCCTAGGCCTATACCTTGACAACAACCTGAATTTCAGCACCCATATCTAACACATAACCAAAAAAGTATCCAAAACGGTTGGTATCCTCTCCAAGATACGATACTACGTGCCGCAAAATGCCCTTCTCACACTATACCACTCATTTATCCATACCTCACCTATGCTATTTGTGCTTGGGGATCAACTGCAGCAACACACCTAAAGCCAATAATAACCCAACAAAAAACTGCAGTAAGAATTACTAAATCCCATCCCTGGCAACACACCCCCCCCACTCATCATAGATCTAAACTTACTCCCTGTTCAGTACATCCACACTTACTACTGTGCAATCTACATCTACAGGACCTTAAACTCCAATATCAACCTTG